GGGACAGGGCACCCCGACTGATGGCAGATGCACCCCCATCCCCGGGACAAGGCACCCCGATTGATGGGACAGTGCACCCCGATTGCTGGGACAGTGCACCCCGATTGATGGAGGATACACCTCGATTTCTGGGTGGTGGACCCCAGTTCCTGGGACAATGCACCCTGATTTATGGGTGATGCACCCCCAGAGTAATGCACCTCAATTTCTGGGACAATGCACTCCAGTCCTTTGGGGTGATGTACCCAAATTCCTGGGGTGATGCACCCCGATCCCCTAGGACAATACACCTCGATTTCTGGGACAGTGCACCCCGATTGATGGCGGATGGACCCCCCCGGACAGTGCACCCCGATTCCCGGAACAATGCACCCCAGTTCCTGGGTGATGCACCCTGATCCCTGGGACAATGCACCCCGATTTCTGGGACAATGCACTCCAATCCCTTGGGGTGATGTACCCAAATTCCTGGGGTGATGCACCCCGATCCCTGGGGACAATGCACCTCGATTTCTGGGACAGTGCACCCCGATTGCTGGGACAATGCACCCCGATTTCTGGGTGATGCACCTCGATTTCTGAGTGATGCACCCCCGGAGTGATGCACCCCGATTCCTGGGTGATGCACCCCAATTCCTGGGGTGATGTAGCCTCTTGGAATGATGAACCCAAATCCCCAGGGCAATGCACCCCTCCGAGTGATGCACCCCAATCCCTGGGGGTGATGCACCCCCAGTGATGGAGCCCAATTTTGCGGGTGATGCAGCCTCTGGAGTGATGCACCCCAATTCCCGGAGTGATGCACCCCAGTTCCTGGGACAATGCACCCCGATTTCTGGGGGTCCCTTCCCATTCCCAAACTGATTCATCCTCCCCACCCCGGGTTGGTGTTTCCATTCCTGGGGGCACAAATTCCCCCTGGGGCAACGTTTCCCCGATCCTGGGCTGTTGATTATCCCCGGTGTGGCACAGGGACACAGAATGTGGGACACATGGGATTGGCACATGGGCACTGGGTGTGGCACAGGGGTGTGGCACACAGGGACAAGGGGGATGGCGCACAGGTGTGGCACAGGAGCACNCAGATCTCAAACTGGAGCTGAGCAGCAGCAAAGCATCACCAGCAAGCCCCGAGGCCAGGCGGGTGCTGCCCTGCACCCCCTTCCCCAGGGTGACCAAACACCCCCTAAGTGCCACCCTGACACCCCAAAGTGCCACCCTGACGCCCCAAAGTGCCACCCTGACGCCCCAAATCACCAGGGAGCTCCAGAAAACCACCCCAGCCCTCCATGGCAGTGCCACCAGCAGGGTTAGGGGGCTGGGGGCTCTCACACCCAGCCCACCCCAGGCAGGCAGAGCCTCCCTTGCCCTCTCCCCCGAGCAGGAGAGCTGTGGGGTGGCAGGTCCAGCCTGGCCAGGAGGAGATGAGGCAGCAATGAGCCCAGGGATGGAGTGTGCCCTGCCCAGAGCCTCTGGGGACAGTGGCAGTGCCAGCCTGCAGCCCCTGGGAGATGCCCACAGGCTGCAGTACCCGGCCCAGCTGGTCAGCGAGGCGCTGGAGGATGCCCTCAAGGAGATGGGAGATGATGCTCAGCCCCAAGAGGAGCCCACACCCAGCTCCACGTGGGATATCCGTGCTCCCAGCCCTGTTTTCCCCACCAAGGCTGTGCCAGAGGGGCCTGGGGAAGGGCAGGAGGGATCTGAGGATGAGGAGAGAGCTGAGGAGGTGATGCTCCAAGGGCTGGCTAAGGAGAGCAGCCCCCTGCAGGACACAGCTCCATCCCCACCAAGCGTGGACCCTCCCTTGGGGAGCCAGGAAGATCTGGGAGCATGGGAGGAAGAGGAAGAAGAGGAAGAGGAGGAGGTTCCTGCTGTGCTGAGCCCAAGGGATGCAGAAATGGAGGCCCAGGAAGGACACGAGGATCTGCCTGGGCAGACAGAGAGCAGCTGGGAAAAGCCAGAGGAGCAAAGGACACAAACCCCCAGCACGCAGCCTTCACACCCCTCCGAGGATGAGGAGGAGGGAGATCTCCAGCAGGAAGGAACAGAAGTGCAAGAGGAGAAATGTCCCCACAGAGAAGTGGAAGCTGCTGGTGCTGTCCTCGTTCAAAGCCACCTGGCTCTGCCCACAGAAGGTCACCTGGAGCAGGACTTTGCTGATGCAGAGCAGGAAAGGGCTGAGCAGCACAAAATGCCCAGGTGTGAGGTGGACCTGGCTGCAGAGCAGGGAAGGGAGCAGGAGCTGTGCCCAGAGCAGGAGCCCAAGGGTGTCCCTGAGGCCATCCCAGCAGAGGAGCCTCCCACAGGAGCTGGAGGAGATGGTGGGGCAGGGGAGGGGACAGGCAGAGGGGGAGATGGTGAGGGAGAAAAGGGAGAGGCCAGCAGGGAGGTGCTGGGAGAGGAGGATCACGGGGTGGGACAGGACCCCATGGCAGCAGAAGACCTTGGGGCAGCAGAAGACCTTGGGGCAGCAGAAGACCTTGGGGCAGGAGAAGATCTTGGGGCAGGATATCTTGGGACAGGAGAAGATTTTGGGGCAGGAGAAGGCTCCAAGGTAGGAGAAGGCTCTGAGGCAGGAGAAGATCTTGGGGCAGAATTTCTTGGGGCAGGAGAAGATCTTGGGGAAGGAGAAGGCTCAAAGATAGAAGGCTCCAATATAGGAGAAGACCATGGGGCAGGAGAAGACCATGGGGCAGGAGAGGCAGGTGAGACCCTGGAGGGGGACAGCAGAGCCCCAGAGGAGCCTGAGGAGCTGCAGAAAGGAGAGGAGGAGGAACAGGAGGAGCTGGAGCCAGGAGAGGAGCCCTGGGCACAGGAGGGTGACCATGGCAGTGCCCAAGAGGACTGGCAGGTGACAGCAGGGGACACTGAGGGGCCAGGACAGCCAGCCTGGGCAGGTGACACCCTGAGCAGTGCAGGAAGGCTGGAAAGCGAGCAGAGAGGTGGCTCAGGGCCAGCAGAGCTGGAGGAGGCCCAGGAGGATGATGAAGGAGATGCCAGGAGGCAGGAGATGAGGCAGCAGCAGGCGCTGGCACAGGCTGAGCTGGCACAGCTGGGCAGCGTGGCACAGCCTGTGCCAACCCCTCCAGGTTCCCCTGGGCACAGCCAGGAGCTGGTAGAGGCTCCAGGGGAACCAGGGGAGCTGGGGCAGGTGCCAGGTGCCAGCACTGAGTGGGCACTGGAGGAGACCCCCAGAGACACAGAGCTGGCAGAGCTGGAGAGCTCAGAGCTGGTGGCACCAGCGCAGGTGCCAGGTGAGAACAGCAAGTGGGCATTGGAGGAAGCCACCAGAGACCCAGAGCTGGCAGAGCTGGTGGCACTGGGGCAAGTGCCAGGTGACAGTGCTGAGTGGGCATTAGAGGAGACCCCCAGAAACACACAACCCATAGAGCTGGAGAGCTCAGAGCTGGTGGCACCAGGGCAGGTGCCAGGTGAGTGGGCATTGGAGGAGGCCACCAGAGATACAGAACCCACTGAGCTGGTGGCACCAGGGCAGGTGCCAGGTGAGTGGGCACTGGAGGAAACCTCCAGAGCACCAGAACCCCCAGAATTGGAGAACTTAGAGCTGGTGGCATCAGGGCAAGTGCCAGGTGACAGTGCTGAGTGGGCATTGGAGGACACCCCCAGAGACACAGAACCCACAGAACCTGGGGAGCTGGGGCAGGTGCCAGGTGCCAGTGCTGAGTGGGCACTGGAGGAGGCCACCAGAGACACAGAACCCACAGAGCTGGTGGCACCAGGGCAGGTGCCAGGTGAGAAGAACGAGTGGGCATTAGAGGAGACCCCCAGAGACACAGAACCCCCAGAACTGGAGAGCTCAGAGCAAGTGGCACTGGGGCAGGTGCCAGGTGAGTGGGCACTGGAGGAGACCCCAAGAACCCCAGAGCTGGCAGTGGGCACGGGCAGGAGGGTGGAGCTGGAGGACACCCTGCCTGACAGCACCCCCCTGCACCTCTACCAGGAGGAGATGCTGATGGGGACACCCAGCCCAGACCCTCCAGAGAGCGAGGACACCACGGGGACAGCTCCTGTGTGTGCCACAGCCCAGCAGGGCCAAGGGAGGGACCAGCCACCAACTGCCAGCGTGCCACAAGAGGAGGCAGAGGAGGCTGAAGAAGAGGAAGGTTATTTCATGGTCTCTGCTCCCAGCCAAGAGGTGTCTAGCTCAGAGGATGCCGAGATCCCTGAGGACTTTGAAGAAATTCAAGTGGACGCAGCTGAAGGCGGCCAAGATGGTCTGGGGGCTCCTGGGGAAGCGTCTGCAGGGCCAGAGGAGGGCACAGAGCACCTGGAGGTGCTGGCTGCAGGAGCAGATGAGGGTATGGAGGTGCCCACTGAGGTGCCAGAGGATGAGGAGGGCACTGCTGAGCTGGAGGAAGGCCCAGAAGAAGACCCCAGCTGCCTTGGGGTGGTGGAGCCATCATCAGGAGGTTCTGGTGAGCCAGCCCAGGGTGCCACAGCTTGGGAGGGACCAGAGCACCCAGAAGATCCAGATGAGGAGCTCCACAGCACAGCTGAGCTGGAGGAAGGCCCAGAAGAAGATCCAAACTGTCTGGGGGTGGTGGAGCCATCATCAGGAGGTTCTGGTGAGCCAGCCCAGGGTGCCACAGGCTCTGCAGAAGAGCACCCAGAAGATCTGGCTGCTGATCTAGATGATGGTGTGGAGGTGCCCACTGAGGAACCTGAGGTGGCAGAGGATGAGGAGGTCACTGCTGAGCTGGAGGAAGGCCCAGAAGAAGACTCCAGCTCTATGGGGGTGATGGAACCATCATCAGGAGGTTCTGGTGAGCCAGCCCAGGGTGCCACAGGCTCTGCAGAAGAGCACCCAGAAGATCTGGCTGCTGAAGCAGATATGGAGGTGCCCACTGAGGAACCTGAGGTGCCAAATGATGAAGAGGACACTGCTGAGCTGGAAGAAGGCCCAGAAGAAGATCCAAACTGTCTGGAGGTGGTGGAACCATCAGCAGGAGGTTCTGGTGAGCCAACCCAGGGTGCCACAGGCTCTGCAGCTTGGGAGCGACCAGAGCACCCAGAGGATCCAGATGAGGAGCTCCACAGCACAGCTGAGCTGGAGGGGGATGCCAGGACCCTGGGGCTGGCGGGGCAGGAGGAGGAGGAGGAGGAAGATGAGGATGAGCCCAGCATGGCTCCCCATGAACCAACCAAGGCCACAGCAGAGCTCCAGGCCCAGGCAGGGCCTGATGGAGCAGAGCAGCCCCTGGAAGAGCAGCTAGGGATGGAGGAGGGAGCCCTGGGCAGTGAGAGCCTGGGGCAGGGAGGTTCTCCAGAGGTGACCCCAGACATCCCTGACACAGCCGAGCTGCCCGTGGAGATCATGAAAGCCTCGGGGATTCTGGAAATAGTTGAGCAGGCGCTGGAGTTCAACCAGGAGCTGATGGGGGCGAGGGTGGCAGAGGCTGGGCAGGGTCCTGGCACGAGAGAGCTGTCCTGGGATGGAGGAGAACACCCTGAACTCTCCCAGGATGGAGGGGAACGCTCTGAGCTCTCCCGGGATGCAGAGGAACACCCTGAGGTGTCCTGGGATGGAGAGGAACACTCCGAGCTCCCCCAGGATGCCCAGGAAGGCTCTGAGGTCTACCAGGGTGAAGGCGAACACCCCGAGCTGTCTCTGGATGCCCAGGAATGCTCTCAGCTCTCCCGGGATGCAGAGGAAGGCTCCAAACTCTCCCGGGATGCAGAGGAAGGCTCTGATCTGTCCCAGGATGCAGAGGAAGGCTCAGAGTTCTCCCAGGATGCAGGAGAACACTCTCAGCTCTCCCAGGTTGCAGAGGAACACCCCGAGCTCCACTGGGATGCAGAGGAAGACTCCAAACTCTCTCAAAATGCAGAGGAAGGCCCCGAGCCGTCCCGGGATGCAGAAGAACACTCTCAGCTCTCCCGGGATGCAGAAGAACACCCCGAGCTCTCCCAGGATGCAGAAGAACACTCTCAGCTCTCCCGGGATGCAGAAGAACACCCCGAGCTCTCCCAGGATGCAGAAGAACACTCTCAGCTCTCCCGGGATGCAGAAGAACACCCCGAGCTCTCCCAGGATGCAGAAGTACACTCTCAGCTCTCCCGGGATGCAGACGAAGATCCCGAGCTGTCCCGAGATGAAGAGGAAGGCTCAGAGCTGTCCCGGGATGCAGGAAAACACCCCGAGCTGTCCTGGGATGCAGAAGAAGACTCCAAACTCTCCCGAGATGCAGAGGAACACCCCGAGCTCCCCCAGGATGCAGAGGAACGCCCCGAGCTCCCCAGGGATGCAGAGGAAGACCCCGAGATCTCCCAGGATGCAGAGGAAGGCTCCTCCCTGTCCTCCTCCAGCGAGGAGGAGCCCACGGTGCAGGAGGCCCCGGAGGTGATGCAGGAGGGTGAGCTCCGGGCTCAGAACGGGCTGCACCGCCCGCACAGCCTGGAGGAGCTGCCCGAATTCACCGAGGAGCTGCTGAACGGCACCTCCAGCACGGCCCCGGCACAGGAAACCCTCTCAGAGCCCTCGGGGGTGCTGCCAGCACAGATCCCCAGCCCTGGGGATGGCACTGCCACCAGGCTGGGGGATGGCACTGCCACCAGGCTGGGGGATGGCAGCCTCAGGGGGAAGCAGCTGAGCCCCGTGTCCCCTGCTCTGGGTGAGGAGGATGTCCTGAGCCCCACAGCCCAGCGGCAGCCCTGCTCCTCAGGGGACGAGTGACAGAACCTTCTGGTGGCTCCTTCCTGCCAGAACCCCATTGTTCCCCCTTATCCCACCCCGTCCTGATGCTTCCACATCTTCCCGTGGGTTTTTACATGTTTGTGTGGATTTTTTGCACCCCTTTTCAGAGTGAAGAACCACCAAGTTCTGTTGCACCCCTCACAGCCCACCCAAATTCTCATGTTTGCTCTGGGATCCCCTCTTCATTTTGAGTTTCCTCCTGGGTGGGTTGCCTGGAGGAACCCACCTGGTATTTAATTTAAACTCAGTGGTTCCCCATTCCCTACAAGATTTCCTCTCCAATTCCTCCAGGACGTCCAGCTGGACCTTAGGGACTCCCCCAAACTGCACCCTGGGATTCAGCATTTTGGGCTACATCACCCCAGGCTGACCCTGGGTATTTAACATGTTTGTGTGGATTTTTTGCACCCCTTTTCAGAGTGAAGAACCACCAAGTTCTGTTGCACCCCTCAGAGCCCACCCAAATTCTCATATTTGCTCTGGGACCCCCTCTTCATTTCCAGTTTCCTCCTGGGTGGGTTGCTCTGCTGTATTTAATTTAAACTCTGTGTTTCCTCATTCCCGGCAAGATTCCCTCTCCAATTCCTCCAGGATGTCCAGCTGGAGGTTAGGGCCCCCCCCCAAACTGCACCCTGGGACTCGGCATTTTGAGGTACATCACCCCAGGCTCCCCAGCCTGACCCTGGGGACTGAGCCACGCTGGATGTACCCAAAATTAATTTAATAAAGCCTCATCCTCCCCTCAGGACTTGCTCTCCTCACTCTGGGGCTGGGGAGGGCACTGATGGGGGGGTTGCATTTCCAGGCTGGTTGGGGTTGGGATGGTGCCCTGGTGGGGATCCTGTGGGCAGGATCGAGGGTGCAGGATGGGTGGGATGGTGCTGCCCCATCTCTGGGACAACGCACAGCCCTGGAGTTTCATGGCCACAATCCCTGGGATGGTGCAGCCCCCAGAGCCATGGAAATGGTTGAGCAGGCCCTGGAGTTCAACCAGGAGCTGATGGAGGGAGGGTGGCAGAAGGTGGGCAGGGTTTGTAACCT